CCCCCCCCCCCCCTCCCGTGTGGGTGTTGTGGAGATTTTCTGACAATTTCAGACTTTTTATTGTGTGATGCTCGCTATTTTTTTCATTACCTTTTCATTTTTTAAACAATGCAAGTTATACTTCAACTTGTAATTACTTTTGAAAGAATTCAATGAATACTCTCAATTGGTCACGCATTTTCATTGCACACCACTCAGCACTATTGCAATGGAAAACAAGAAATCTTGAATTCTCCCCAATAAATAGCAAATAGCAACTGGAGGGGGAGACAGGACTACGTTCCAACTTTTGTCCAGTCCCCACTAATGCCGTCTTTTAGCACAAAGAATGAAATAAATGATATGCACAATATCACTGTAACATGACCTCACCCTGTATCTATTTTATGCTCATTTGATTCTTAGTTTTAAATATCCAAGATTACAGGAACACTTATTTATGTGAAAAATGATGTATTCATCATTGCATTCATACTCAGACTCAAAGCACTCTGAATTTTCAGAGTTGAAATTACAACCTTCGGATTCGTACTTGTGATGTTCTCTCATACATACTCAAGTATATATACTGTATGTGTTTACTGCTTTCCCCAGAATGTTCTTTTTGCCCTTCTTATTACTTTTGGTACCCTTCTTTAATCCTTTAATCCCTGAGAGTGACAAGCATCTACTGGTAATTTCTCCTTTGAATATCACCCCTGAATCAAAAATTAAGGTCATGAGAATAAAGGAAATGATAATCAATTAGAGAACCTCTTGATTGTTAAAGAAATTCTCCTTGCCAGCCCTTAGGAAATGCATAGAGAACAGTAAAGAGAATATGCATACTGATGTTAGGGTGTAAAGACTTTTTATCCATATGCAGTCAATTTGTTCATTTGAATACAATATTTGGCAAGATCATTTAAAACACAGATCTTGGCTTGTGTTGTGCATGTTCATAAATGTTTCAATGTTAAGTTTTTTGTCATAACTGTGCCAGGTTGAAATTTTGAATTGCTCATCACTGCAGGAGTCTATGTTTGTCTTTCTCTATAAACTCAAACAGCTTGTTGCTCTCAAAAATGTGTGATACTTCTAAAATGATTATTGGATTATTGATCTGAGAAGGAAATGTTTATCTTCACTCCTTTATGTTTTGACTTTCTTTAAGTTCAGAGGTTATCAATGAAGGTAGTAGTTGTTTTCATATGAAATTTTCAAGTTTGTTTTTTTTGTTTTTGTCGTGAGTGGAGTTGTTTTTTTATGGATGATCATGAGGAAAAATGGGCAAGTGTTGTTTTTCATGAAAACTTTCTTGAACTCAAGAGTTTTACCCTAATTGAGATGCTCTATGAAAGAGTCCCGTAACATTTATTTATCAAAGTGTTAGCACAGAGAACAGATAATCGCAAGTTGATCATATCTTTTTGCACAACATTTTTGGGTGGTTTGTTTAATCGCTGATGAAAAACATATGTTTTAGATTTTGTGTGATTTTATGAAATTGTTCTTTTAAAAAAACAATTTTCAACTCCAAGAGATAAGGCTCTCTAATCAATTTAAATAATTGGAATTTTTGCATTGTTAGGAATGTCAAATGAAAAGTATTGTGTAACATACACCACTCAAAAACTGTGCACTCTTCAAATCAGTAAACAATTCCATTAATAAAACAAATTTTGGCAATTTTTTTCTGATTTTGAGCAACCAAACACACACTTAAGCAACCAGCAAATACCAGGGTAATGTAAATGGTCAGATATTTTTGAGGCGTGACCCTTGACACTTGAATATTAACGACTGAAGTCAATATATTTACCCTCAAATTATACAAGAGTTGCTTACAGGTTACCGGCCACCAAAAATACAAGTCAAATACAAAATCATGGGACACTCATAAATTTATGAGTGTCCCATGATTTTGTGGTTTCAATATGTTTAAACATATTGAGACAATCATGTGAATCTTGCTCTAGAAAAGCTCCAATCTGTAGTTCTACACTTCACCTGTAGGTACATGTCAGTATCAATTAGTTTATGAATTTAAAGTAAGATCTAGTTCAGAACTTTGCAAATTGTAAAGTACCAGAAAAAAAGTAACAGACTGTAACACGAAATAAATTGAATTTCTCACTGCCGCTTTGACCCTTCAACTCCCAGAAGTAACAGAAAATTAATGTGACTATAAAATCCAAACCTTATCCATTACACAGGTAATGAGAATACTCAAAGTTATTATCTTGATCTAATATTACCAGATTCCTGAAACGAATAACGAATAATATGGGATGGAAAATTAGTTATAGCAAATTCTGTTTTTTGAAGAAATTCCTTTCTTTTATTTAAACCATAGGGTGCCAAAGAGAACAGCTGAGCACTCCAATAAGCCTCTTTCGTAATTAAAAGCCTAGCGATCTCCCCAGAGCCGCTTGGGGCCTGCACCTGATTAATACATTGAAACGAAAAATCACCTAGGGTAAGTGGAATTCTGGTAAAATGTATCGCTACTTCACAAGTTGTTTTGTTTGTGAGTATAGCAGAGTTGTGGTAACGAAACATAATTCTAAAGTCGGTAGTGGTAGATCCCATACATTGCAAGCGACATTTCTTGCAAGAAACCAAATAAATCACATTTTTAGAATTACAAGAAAGTCTGGAATGAATGGAGTATTTTTTGCCCGTCTGAAAGCTAAGAAATGACTTAGATTCAACAAAGAAGTTTCGACAGAGGTCGCATCTATTCCTATCGCATTTGAAGCAGCCATTGATGTGATGAATTGTTGGTCCCTCGTTGACAGTTTTAAAACGGGATGGTGCTAATAGTTCTTTGAGATTTTTTGACCGACGAAAAGATGGTATGATAGCACCTCGAGGAAAAAGTTCTTTTAATTTGGGGTTGGATTGTAGAATGAACAAATGCTTTCTGATTATGTTGCCTACGTCGGGTAAATTTGGATTAAATGCGATAACAAATGGAAATGATTTCTTCGTTTCTTTTCCACGAGTCCTAAGTAAATCATTTCTAGGAATGGCGAAGGCTTTCGAGAATTGATCCGAAACTAATTTAGAGGGATAGCCCTGGTTGACGAGCTACTCTTTGTACTCAGCTGTTCTCTCGGCAAGAAAAATTTCTTCAGAGCAATTTCTTTTCAATCTTGTGGCTACTCCAAAAGTAGTAGCCTTGAAAACATGCTTAGGATGGCAGCTAGAAGGTGAAAGATATAAGTGACTATCTACTTTGGAATAGGTTTGGAATAGACGTCTGTCCTAATAAATCCATCGATAAGGTATAAAGTAAGATCAAGTACGTGAAGCTCACGCTCAGAAAAAACTAACTCAAATTTAATGGTAGGGTACAGAGAATTAATGTAATCAGTAAATTGATGTAGGACAGGAAGGCCTTGCTGCCAAAGATCAAATACATCGTCTCGATATCGCCACCATAAGGACGGCTTTATCGGACGAGAAAACTTAGCTTTGAGATCAATTTCGCCCATGGCTAGATCGGCATAGCTACAAGCATTCTTTGGACCCATAGCTGTGCCATGGATTTGAAGAAAGAAATTCTCTTTAAAAACAGAATGGTTGCTTTTCAAACAAATTTTTACAGCTTCTAAAATACAAGTCGTGAATGGAAATTTGTTTTCTCTAGCATTCAAAGCCTTCCTTATTGCTGTGAGGCCGAGTTTGTTATCAATGTTAAAAAACATTGAAACCACGTTCCACGAGACCAGTGAGGTGCCAGTTGGAAAGGGGCCGCTTTTGTTAAGATTTTCTATTTTGTTAAGCAGATCAGTGGTGTCCTTAATAAACGATGGTAATTTGCGGGCAAGTGGTTGTAAACAAAATTCAGTAAAGGCCGATAAGTTTTCAATTGCCGTTCCACAACAAGATGTAATAAGTCTAAGCGGGTCGCCTGTTTTGTGCGTTTTGATGTTTCCAAACGCAACTCCTTGTCTCGCTTCTTTATTTAAAACCCACTTAGCTACTTCGGGGGAAGTAACTCTCTTCTTTGACTCTCTTCTTTTTTTTAACTCTCTATGTATATATGTATATTATAATACTTACTCAAACAACATACCCTGTGGCGCGTATTTGATTTATGACCACATTTCAGGTTGATATTTCAAGAAATCTATGGCAGACATTGCAAAGAGTTATTATTTGAAGCTCTGGAGTGAGAGGATAAAAAAGATAACATGATATGCCGAAACCAAAACTTGTTGGATTCTTTAGTATTTTCAGTATTGAAGTACAGCCAAGTACGTAGAGGAAGTTGCCTCTCAGCTAACCGTAACGAATCGTACGGCAGAATGAACTTTGTGCTAACAATCCAGCAGCTCTACTCAAGTGTGAGGTATATGGACAACAGCCTAAACTCACAGAAAAATAAGCTGGGATTTTGTCTCCGGCAAGGTATAATCTCTTGTTCGCAGCCATTTCCTGTTCCCAGAAGCAAACAATGTCAGGCATCAACACAAGCGTATTTTCCGCCGAGGCAACTCGAAGGTTTTGCAATTATCATCCTTCAGAAACATTCCAGAAAGGAACACAAACGTTTACAAACAACTAACCGTTGCAAACCGATTTTGACTTTATCGAGTGACTTTCTGAAAATACAAGTTCATATCCTCTTTTATAACAGCATCAAAACTCTCTCCACAAGAAAGGCAAGAGTCAGGGTATTCAAAATTGGAGTTTCTTAAAAGAAAATCGCCTAAAAAAATATCATAAAAACAAAAAAACAATTGGAAGCGAAAGACGAACCGAACACTGCATAACTTAATATGCCAGCAAAACTCTGAGATGTTCCATAGTATCACATGACACCGCGCTGGTAATGAAAAATGATTCGTATCATAAGTAGTGAAAGTTGAGAGGGGTAATACCATCTATCAATAAATTTTCCAAATTTACTGATGATGATTTTCAATTTTTTTTCTGATTTTTATTCAGACATCCCATCCATTTTGAAAAAGGAATACTTTTCACGTCTATTTGTGACAAACTTTTATCTCCCCCACTCTTGAACAAAGACACCTTCAGTTAAACCACGATTTATTCAAATACTTAACAAAACAAAGTCGGCCGAAACACTCACAAGATACCTTTCGGAATTATCGAGCAAACTTGCTGAGCATCGCACTCAAAGTGCCGATGTTAGCAATCACGAAGTATTTTTGTCCATTATTTGACAAAATTTATTGTATAAAGATAAAGTAAAGATGTTAGCATGTTCAGAACGTAAAGCTCAGTTTTTCTGTCACAATCATCGCATGGAATCACTAGTTCAAGGGAAACATTTGCAGTTTTCCCAAATCATTAACGGTTGCAAGTGTTCAGAGCAATGTGCATCAAAGACGTCAGAGGTAACTTTAAAGATTAACTTTTTTGCTAATGTAATACCCCAAAATCGCCTCAACTGTTCTTACATTTTCGGGATTTTCCGAAAGGTTCCAGAAATGCACCCGGCTATGGCTTTGACAATTTCGAAAAATTTGAAAAGATCACCGATAGCGGTAAGAAACGAATTCCCCCTTCTTCTATGTCATTTACCCAATGAGATAATCCTCACGGTTCAGAACTCATTACAGATTACAAACTCAAAATAGAGTAAAATTATAATTTTTATATTTTGTAACACTGAAAACCAAATGAAGCTTCATCCAGCATCCAGCCCTCTTTTACCGCGATGGTATTCTAGTGTGCACATCAAGGTATTGATGTTACAGTAACTGTAACACGGTGATTCTTTAACTGAAGTACTTACAGAAGATTTTAATACGACTGCACCCTTATATATTGCGTTGAGAGCTAGTATTTATATTCTTGCTATCAATGGATAACCATATACTCGTGTAGCCTATGAAGATTCTGAATCATAAAAGGTGATGAATTATAATGACTCAGCACATATCCGACTTCTGCATTCGCATAATCACCATCACCAACACGCCGTCGCGAAAACAGAAGCCATACTGCACTTGTAGCACTTTGACGAGCGTATCTGTTGGCATGGATGTTTAATTCACCGCTACAAAAGAGCTCAATCAAGTGAAGAAACACGGAGAGGGATAGATTTAGAGGTAGGAGAGAAAGAGACACTCTAACAATAGCCGGCAATATCTTATTCGATGTCGATAAATTCACTAACTCTATCTACAGTGCATGCGATTTGGAAAAAGTATTAAACAAAACATAAGATTAACCTTTGGAGCGACGATTACTACTAAGCGCACGCACTTTTACACTCGCATATATACATCCAGCTGTTAGTGCAGTGCACAGTGGACCACTTTTTATAAGAGTTATCGGTATGAGTTGATATTACAACACAGTCTCTATCTTTCTCAATGTTGGTCGCTTGAGGATAGCCTGACTCCCAGTTGAAATAAGTAGCGTCATCTGTGGTCCATTTCCAGCGATATACACCCTCTTGATTCGTGTCTGTCAGACCAATATAGTATTTTCCTGCTGTGAAAACAAGATAAAGGAATCGATAAAAATGAAATAATGCATTAGCTTCGACGAAGGGCTAACGCTCGAAAAGTCAACTTTGAACTCCTAACGGTGGCAAATTTACGTAATCAACTCAGTTGATAATACCAAATTGACTTGCTAGCTCTCCCATCGACGCAGCACCATAGTTTCTTTCGAAACTTATCTCAGATTAAAATGAAGACTGAAACGTTCTGAGTTAGTTTTAGTCATATCGTATTAATAAATGGCTCAACTTTTCGCTTGAAGAGTTATATAAAGGTCCTTTTGTAATTGGTTGCTTTTGAGGAAGTGACTAAATCCGTACTGGGTGAGTGGACAGCAAAACTAATTGAAACTTTTCTCTTATTTCTTACACTTTTCCTCTCCATTCTAATTCCCTGAAAACCAAGAGATTACAAACTGCAAGAAAAGAAGCGATTCTCTTTTTCCGCCCTTGAGAGCATGTGCCACAAGCATGAACTGGTTACTACGTTTTGAGATCAGAATTGTAACTCCGTGTTTCAGGTCAAATGTGCAAACAACAAACGCCGTCAATTAAAAAGCAGCTTCGTAACCTGGCCGAACGGCTATTACTAGAGAATCGAACCCAAATGACAGGAGCCAAAAAATAACGGTCTCAATCAGATAATGCCTTGGTTACGGTTGTCCAAGATTTCATTCAACTTACGCTCCAGTTCACAGCCTTGTTGTGAACTGTTAAGTCAAGGTTAGGCGGACATGCCACCCATCTCCAAAGTGGCGACGTCGGTAATCAAACTTTCGACTGATTAGGGTACTCATTATAATTTAAAAATGGGGTGAGTAGTTTTGCGCCCAGTAAACCTAAATTTGTCGTGCCATGTTTGCCTTTCAAAATAATGCATCTCGCTTTGCTTTTGAAAGGTTCAAGTCTGCGCTCAAATAAATTTCTTCATTTTATTTCCCTCTTTCCGCACCAGCGTAAAGAAATTTACAAATTACATTTTAGTACATTTATGCTTAATTATATATTGTTTTGTTACTTTCCTCTTCAGCTAAATTCAGGAGAAAAGTGGCTGATGTTGATTTAAATGTATAATTTATGAGGCTATTTGCAAATTATTGTGTGCTCAATAGTCATATGGTGTAATTTACTGAAGTGTTGATATGCATATCTCGACAAGAAGTTAAAACGAGCCACGAATTGTGAGGCACTGTCGTTTTACGCATGTTTGTTCAGATACAACACAACTTCTAGCCACATACATCGATCAAGACTCATTTATTCACCCAAATTGTATTCGCTGGGCTCTAAGCATAGTTCTTATAAATGCCTCTGTTAAAATCGAAAAAAAAACCTTTAAAAGGAGCTTTGTCGCAATTAACTTACCCCAAACAGCTGTGAAAGGTAAAGTTATTGCCGCGCGTGGCTTTCCTTTGTTGAAAATAATCTGTTCAACTTCAGCGTACATAGCTTAAAATTACCCATAAATAGAGGTTCGGTTTATAATATAGCGATAGAGAGCTTGATCGATCGCTTAACGTTCCAAGCCGCATATTTGCGAGAAGTTCAAAATCCAAGATGGCGGACGATTGACTAATTTGCATATAGACTTATTTGCATGTTTCTAGATTTCCACACTTCCATACTACAACACCTCCAGACAACCAAGTTGAGATAAATTTGAGTCAGGTAAAGACTAATTTGAATATTTCCAGATCTCCACACTTCCACACTTCCAGACTACCTTGTAACATAAATACGAGTAAGGAAAAGACTAATTTGCACATTTCTAGATTTCTACACTTCCACACTTCCACACTTCCACACTTCCACACTTCCACACTTCCACACTTCCACACTTCCACACTTCCACACTTCCATACTTCCAAATTACCAGAAAACCAAGTTAAGATAAGCTAATCACACATCACACATTTCCACGTTGCTAGGTTACTCTATAGTGATTGATTTTATGTGCAGCGCATTCCATTGAGATGACATGTTCTCTGCTCCTCTAAACCATCCGGGTAAAAGTTTCTTTTTTAACAAGCATTAAGAGTGTGTGTCAGGCTCAAATGCTTAACAGAAAATGAAAGATTTTCTCTTGTGCAATTGATAGGGTTATTATGTCCCCTGAACTGAGTGACGTTAAAAAATGATAACCAAAGTTTGCCACATTGGAAAGGAAACGATCTCTCTTGAATAACACAAAATATCACATCACTCTTTACGTTTGAAAGATGTTGGGAGAGTTTTGAAAACAACCTTTATCTTATGATAAATGGTAGATCGTATTACAACATTTACATTCAAACATTCTTATTGAAAGTTTTGTACAGTATGAGTTTTTTCGGCAGTTTTAATACCGGGAATTTTATGGTATCATTGTTTTACGTATACGTTGAAAAGTTGTGACTAATTTTCCGGCAACTGAAACTCAATTATAACACTGACCTGCCAGTAAAGGAAAAGAAAAAGCAATCATTTCAAATCATTTCTGCTTGTTTGTCATTCTACTTACCATTCCGAGGGGCAAGGCTAACAACTTGGTCATTGTCTTCAACGGACGGGATCTTAATCAGACCTCCTTTTTCATTGTTAGAAGTCATGAAACTCTTACAGTGTGAATTTGCACCTGCTCTTGTTTTAGGTTGGGTAAAAAATCGAATACATCCAGTTCTATATCCATACCAGCCGCCCGTACAGTCTGAGAGAAAAAGGTAGACGACGATTCATCGAGTCAAATCATAATTGTTCTGGTTCCCCATCCCTCACGTTAAGAGTTTTTGAAATGAGTCTAGAAAACTAAGCAAGGGCACGAGGCCGAGGCTTGCAAGCTTACTTCTCGGAATAAAGGGCTAAAATAACGAATAAGTGAATTAATAAATCAATGAAAGATAAATAAGTAAATAAGTCGATTAAATTATTGATAAATAAATAGCATGGAACACTAAATTACACCCGTCTTTTAGAAGTGCCATTCTTTTATAAAAACCTTTCACACAACTCCAAATTTAGCAGGTCAGATATTAAAGGCGGTTTAAGCGAAGGATAGAAACTGCATGATTTTCACTTTCCTGCTCAAAGGCTTTGTACGCTGAAAGTCCCTATAACAGTCGCTGCCTTAGATCAATGCCTTTGTACAGAACTAAGGGGAACGTACGTGAATTTGTTTCGAGGAAACCTCGCTGATTTCACTCGTAAATTATCCTACTCATTAGTTCTCTTTACTGTGACATTTTGGTTAGTTTCAGTCTCAAGACCTTATAACTCAGCACTCAATGTGAAATGAACTATTAATTAGAGTCTTATTAACTCGATATACTTTAATGATTTGGCCATTAAGCTAAGTGCAGTTGCAAACAATCCTATAACACAATGTACTCAATCAGTATTGAGTACAGAGAAACAAAATGATGCCCTTTACCTGCTTGGGGTTGTGAAGATGACGACAACAGAGTAATTGACGATGTCATTACTCCTGACGTGGAATTAAGTAGAGAAGCTGATGATGTCATCGTTATGCCAAATGTGGTCTGTGTGACTGATTGATGTGAGGAAGGTAGAGACGTCAAAGCAGATGAAATCATAGAGGACTTAGCGAATACATTTGATGACGATATCGATGGCGTGACAAACGAAGTAGTCTTTGATGGTGTTATCATGCAAGACAAAGGAGATGATATCATAGATGACGTAGCCAGTGCATTTGAAGACACTATCATTGACGCGACAGGCGATGACGTCTTTGATAGCGTTGACAAGGAAGACTTCGACATAACAATAGCAGATGATGATGCCATCGATGATATTGAAGACATTTCTGCCACATGACAAAAATTGATTGCAACAAAATTAGTAACGAGTAAGCTAAGATTCCCTTAGAGTGTTGTTCCTAGCGCTTCTCTTAAGAAGCAACAGCAAGCTGGAGATTACCTTTGAAAAACCTTACCAAATTTACATCACGGACAATCTACTCATGATTTTATATATAGTATCATGGTCGTCATGGTCACTATCATTATTACTGAAACTTTAATTGCTTTCATCATAATTTTTATTAGTGTGATTAATTTTGTCATTATTATCGGACAGTTTATAATATCTTGTACTAGCTTATCTTTTAAACCAGCAGAAGGGTACATGATAAGCTGGTTATGAGAAGGGTGGGATCTAAGATTTTATTGGGACAGTTGATATAACTAACCACTGTATACACTTATGATCTTTTTTTCCAGGAAGATACCTAAAATGTGACACGAAGTCACACTGAATATTAAAGATTTCAGTAAATTTCTAAATGAAAATCCAGTCGGTTTGAAAATTTGATAATGTTATAAAATTAGGATATTTGTTGTGATTTTTGGCGTTCAAGGCGCCCTTGAAACCAAAAACCTTTAAAAAGTTAAAAACTAGGATTTCTCCCAGTCGGGCGTCTCGCATCCGTCAAAAAAGGGAAATTTTTCCGTTTTCTATGAGTTTAACTGGCAAATAAACAATAAATATTTGACTCACCAGGGCACACTTTGTACTAAGTTCTGTTATTATTTACAAAGCAAGGTAGAGAAAAGTTACGAGTGAGGAGTTGTGTCTAACTAACCTTCAGCAGAAGATGTCAGTTCTAACTGACGGTTTTCTTTGCTAGTTGTCCGGTGTTTATCTCCCTAAAACATGCAAGTCAGAGGAAAAAACGAAAAAAAAGAAAATAATAATTTATATACTCTGTTTCTCTTGCATTGAGCAACAAAGATTATTCAATGTTTGCACTTCGTTGCCATAAACTGAGCGATCTGAATGGACAAAGCAATAAAAATCTGCGTGTGCTTGGTATTTTCGTGAGCTAAAACTTGAAACCATAGCAATATTTAATAAAAAATGGCGGATTTTTAAAAATATTTCAAAGTGGTATGGTTTTCTTCCGAGGTTAAGCAAAGAGGTTAATCTAAAGACTTAAGAATTCGCTTAAGACTATCCTTCACAGGGACACGAAATGTTTATTCGCATACTATAGTTTTATGCTTGCACATTAGCTGAAATTTGGCTGCGAACTGTTGCAAAATGCATGTTGTGCAAGCTGGGCTAAAGTGATGTCGACATTTGTACTGGATGGTGTTAGCGATGGTATTTTAGATTTTCTAGATAGCGGTTTCAATGGATGCATTTTTGAAATAATCGCCGTATTTATTGATGATTATATACTGTTGCTATGGATTGAAGGGCGTGCTTGAGGCATGGGCAGATGTTATTCAACTTTTTGATCCAAATGCACTCTATTACTTACGTCGTAGGGCAATTCGATCGGCTCTTTATAAGAATATCCATTTCGTCTCACGAGTGTCTCACCGGAAGACAGCAGAGTGACGTCATTTAGCTCACAAGTACGTCGTGTTGATTTGAAACTCAACCGTTGATAGTTGAATGACACGCAATTGTCAGACAACACACATCTATGCAAACAGTCCAGCTCAGATGGAACCAAGAATTTTGCTATAACGTGCCCTTCCAAAACTTCATCTGAAAGCCAAAACAAGAGCTTTCAAATCGCTTAGGAAGTTAACTATACCATATCACGGGACCTTCCCGGCCTAAAGTTTGGGACACGGGGAAATTAAAGAAAGGTATGGTTAGTGGGTACAGTAGAGCATTTCTTCAAGCAGAAATTCGGCATTTCATAGAAAGATGAAGAGTGTAAATTGTGGTCAGTTATTGACCTCAACGGGCGGCTTGTGAAATATCCCTTCCAATGGATATTAAAAATAAGGTTCTTTTAGAAGTTGTAAATATCACAGATAAAGACCCGGCAGCGCCAAGGTTGAAACCTTGTTCAGGGCTTCCGTTCCAGAAATTACATACGAGTCTTTTGATGCATGAAACGGTTTCTTTAAGTGCGAAACCATTGTGTGACACGTTGACGCGAGCAGCGTAGTCTGTACTCTTATCGAAATTGGCAAATTGGCCGATCAGATTGCGACATTACTGCCAATTGTGGTTAGAAGAATTGGAAAACCATATCCTGAGGGATGTCTACTCGGTAAGGCTAAATTATGAAGTTCTTCTTTCCATCGTCTCTCCATACACTCTTACACTCAACATGTATTACGGAAACTGCATAAACTCGCGCAACAGTTGTCGAATATAAACTTTTAGTCTTTAACGTTCTACGTATATGTTGCCAAGAAGAAAGCAGTTATTTTCTGAAATTGATTAGATCTTTAAAATCCCCTCATGTGTCAAGATTTGATGAAATACTGACAGATGTCAGTGAGAGACGATCCACAATGGCTTTCCCAAACAAATTTTTCTGAAGCATATTGTTTTTCGCATCACAGAACCACACTAACATAGACATATGAGCTAGATTTTCTGGCTGAGGAGTTTTCCTTAGCTACCTTTATTCGATTTATCCCTAAAGTAACTTGTAATTCGCTTTTATGCCTTTTTTTTTTATGCCAAAGAATTTTATCATTCGGGGCAGAAGTGCTTGGTCTCACCGACATTTTGTAAAATATTTTTCGTCTTTACCTTAAAAAAATCCTACATCCCTTTTTGGGTTAGTTGTCTTAGTATTCTTTGTTCAAAAAGCAAAAATACATTTTTCGCCTTATTTGGGAAAATCACCTACTTTGATACCTGAGCTATGAAAATTAGGAATACCTGCCTTAAAGGGGTACCTACCTTCTTTCACCTTTTGAAAAAGAGCAGACCTCTCCCTGACTTCTCTTTGGATGCGCAAGTGACTTCCAAATGAAAGGTTTTCCCCAACAACGCTCAAAATAATGGCGGTGTAAATGATAGCAATCTCAAGCTTCTTCATTGCTGAAATTATATTTAGTTTGACGATTGTTATATTGAGAAGCGTTGGCGTCAATATCTAAAGGCAATTAATTCAGAAACCACTGCAATTTCACATCACAGCGGTGAATTCAGTCTGAATAAATGATTTCCCTGCTCTATGGCCGACCTTAATATTCGCCCTCATCTCTCTTTGCCTATTTCCAAATACGACCCTTCCGGCAACGCTGATCTCACAATTACAACGATGCTTGACACCTGAGAACGTGCTTGTAAACGACGTATCTCACGATCGAGTTCTCTGAGAGTCAGTGGTTAAGCACCGGATTGCGAAGGGTTAGGAGTTCAATTCTTCTAAATGGACTCAGATTTTGGTTGTGGCCCCCATTGGTGACAAATCAGTATCATAAAACACTTAGCAGAAGGTCCCTTTGGAAACAGTTAATTCTGTTTCCCAAGTAACCAGTCGTGAATTGATTTGTTATTTGGAAACATGGCAATTTCTCCTGGATACAAATTAGCAAAATTTTGACATTTGCAAGTACCATGGACTGTTATCCTCCGACGTCATAGATTGTGCAACGCTAGGAGTCTTTATGCGAAAATGGTTTCATTGTTAAACGTTATGTGACTCTTAGTAAGCAAGGGAGCGTGCGTTGTCGGGGAAAAAAATACCAGCTACACATTTAATTAAGACATGATTTTATGGTTGAAAATAGCTATATGAAACATGTTAAAGAATATCTGTTTAAAGAATAGACATCTAAAGAAACCAAATATTTGAGAATGAAAATATCAAATGAAAATTTTTAGATTCTATTTTGATACAATAAGATAAATGCTTTTATCTCACGGATACAGAACCAAATGAAAACTACACAATAGATCTATTCCAAATTAGAACTCTACGTTTTCTGGGCAGTTCTGCAATTATAAGTTTTGTTTTGCTGCATGTTCATTCTACATTTGTTTGGTAAGAAACATCTGGTGATCTCTCCAAATTTTCTGTATACATGTAAATGAAAAAATATATATTCATTTTCGAATAAATGAGGTTATATCTCCAATTCAAACATCTGCTGTTTGGATCATGAACTTTGAGTTTTATTTCGTAGATTATTTTTCTTTTTCAACAGTGAACATCATTTGGAAGAATAAATATCCAAGGGTACACGGAACTCAGTCTGTATTTGTCAATGATGGCACCGTCAGTAAACACCGATCATTATTTCAGTTCAAACTGGAGTGTTAAAATAAATTTAATTATGCATGAGAAAGCACAGGCTGTGCTCAGTATACATTTTGAATTCGAACTGACGAGTATCTTTCCATTATATTATTTTTACCAGCGATGAGCTGTAGATTTCGAGATTGATAAAAGAACCACATGAGAAAAATTTCTTCGTTTTGAACTGCGTAGAATTGTTGCCAAATTAGCAAAATGGAGGTAGCAATATGTTTGTCGCGATCATGCAAAGCCATGAAAAAAGGAAGAAAGCTAAAATAATAATAATATGTATTACTGGCTGAGATTAATGAAAAAACAAAAAAAAAAAGGAAATAAGTACGCGGGTTAAACAGTCAAATCTCGTTTCGCCCAGTTGCTCATGAATTCTATATCATTTTAGGGAGCTGTCATAAAAATTATTCGCCAAAAATTGGGCATTTTCTAGTAGAAAATAAATAAGTTGTCAAAATTTCAGTGACATAAGAGTTATAAGTGACTCGATTCTCTACGGTGGAACCTTAGCTTTTTTCTTCTCTAAAGGAGATATGCTTACCATCGTTCTCGGAGTACTTTTACATATTTCTTGATGTCGTACAATATGGCTTACGTTTGAGCTGTATTGTATTTGATGCAATAATGTTCTATTTCAATTTCCATTTGGATAAAACTACCTGAGAATTAACAGGGTGAAGAGAAAAACCATGATGCGCAGATGATCGTTGATATTTGGGTCGCTGTAAGTGGATAATGATATTGAGATTCGTGGTATCAGGAAAATCTCTGGAGCTGCGCTCGTTATATCAAAGTAATGCGTCCAATAAAATACGGAAAGGACTAAAAAGAAATATATCGAAACTTGTCAATTAATTGTCGCCAATTTCAATATGCTTTCTTCAGAAGTTTTGTAAACACACATTGTACAAATAGTATTTGACTAACAAAGCCAGTCCACGTAACTTTTTCTTTACAGGTCCAGGGGCTGTGACAAAGTACAAACAAAAAACTTTAACAAGTCATTTGAACTCTGCGCTTAACCCTAGACGTCAAAGCTCAAAAGAAATACAAAGAAACTTGTTAATTGGACGGCGACAGTTTCCCATTTCGGTCCTCAGACATTCACCAGTGAAAATGTGAAAGAAAAAAGCGAGCCAGAATTGTGAAATGCTTTTATTCCGCTCTAGTCTACAAATATAAAACAAGGTCCAAATTATTGATTTTAGAAAGACGAATTTCCATGCGAGGAGTTTTTCAATTAAAACTACCAATCCAAAGAAAAATAACTGTTAATTACGGCTGTACGTTTTAATTCTTCGTTCATTTGAATAAAATTTTTATTCTAATGAGAAGAGTTCGCAAGAAATCGCATTTTATCGTCGGTATTTAAGGTAATAGGCTGCCTTCTTTTCTATATCATTTAGAATATCATCTGATATATATATATATTTATATACCTATATAAACTTGATATTAGTACCGAAGTGACATGCACAGAAACGCAAAAAGTCAGCCTAGTTTTTTTTCTTTTTACACCGAAAGGATCAGATGTTTGAATACTGAGAGAGTCCAATAAATAGCTACGTGTTAAATAGGTTTTCTTTTGTTTCGCTAAAAAAACATAATTCCAAATAATTTAAAGAATTAAATTTCGGTTCTTATTGAGCACTAGGCCAACGACTTAGGATTGCGACTTTGAATTAAGAAATACTTACGATGGCGGTTTGTTTAGAATAATTGTGTCGGCTCCTAAAGGAGCTTTTTTTTTTTTCTTCTTTTCATTTTTTTATTGTAAAGTTTTATTATCTTGAAGTCAAAGGTCCATTTAAATATGAATAAGCCTTCAAGAGCTGTCTGGTGATTTTCGTACGCTTCCCATATTTTAAACACGCGTGCTTACATTCACCGCTTTCGATCTGAGCGCAGACGGATGTTGACAGATGTCAGTTGGGCCTCTCTCTAATTAAGCCATCAGGCGGTACAGCGACAGCTTCACGACGTGCGACGGCTCTGAGAATAATGCCATCCTTCGTTGTTCGTGCGCGCACAGATCAACTTGTAGGTGACAACAGAGGTTCGAGAATTGGAGAATTGGTTAGTTTTAAGCGATATTATTGGTTAACTCAACTAAAAAGACATGTTCTGGAGAGCTTCTGCTGAATGATGTCAATAACCTTATGAGATAAATATCAATTATTAACACTGACTACAAACGTTGATAAGAAAACTTTCCTTTCAACACATGTAGAGAATCTACAAGCGGTGTCTCATTTTAAACACGAGCTACTACTGAATTCGGCACCATAGCGATGGAATATATGAAGCGAATAATCAAATGGGAAGTCTATCTTCATACGACCCAGTACTACAGACAGGTATAGCATTCAGGGATTTAAAATTCATGGCGCCACTTCCTTGTGCGACGCTTTCAAAAATGGACGAAGAGACAATGAAGGATTAGCTGGAGGGATACCTTCCCGTGAGGTAAAGAATCACAAGGAGTGAGACCACGAAAGATAAGGCAGGTGCTTTAATTCCAGCAGTTTAAACAGTACAGAAACCTGATGCTGTTGCAAGAGTACGATTTCCAGCTTACCAAAACGACCAATCGTCCCTTTTCTTCTCTGAGACTCATTCTATTGTCGCTTAAGAGGACAGCGATAATGACACATGATGAGCTTGATTCAGAAAAACTTACCATTAGTAAGCCCACGATAACAAGGTCTGGAATGGTCTGGATTCAAGGTGTGGCATGGTTTGATATTCGAGCTCAAAAAAAAAGGGTAAGTCAAGAATATAGACCACCTTGCAAGGGTGTTATTTTATTTTAATATTTTTAATAGGCATACATCTT